AAGACCCGCCTGGACAAGATCCTGGGCAGCCTGCTCTGGGTGACCCTGCTTCGGCAGGAGGGTTGGACTGGGTGACCCACAGAGGTCCCTTCCAACCCCTACTATTCTGTGATTCTGTGATTCTGTGATTTCCCATATTCCTTGCAGCTCACAACACTTGGAGTGGAAGAGAGAAGGAGAGAACGTTACGCTCTGTGCACGCCGGGTGTTTCTGGCACACCAAAACGCTGGGTGAAACAGCAGTTTGTCGTGTGTGTTCAGACGTTCATTAGGGCACACGCTCAGCCCCAAACGAGCAGATGCTCACTTGCGTGCTCCCTCCCTGCTGCTCTCGGGCTGGGTCTCCAGGCCATCCCCACCACTACGAGGGAGCTATCAGCATTCTGATCTCTCTGAGAAATGATAAAAAGCCTTGAGGTACACAGTGCAGAGGCTGAAGTATTGCTGTATAGGCCTGGAAATGGAGAGTCTTTGGGACTGCGTGGTAAGGAGTTTGAGGACATAAACGGATGAGCAGGAAGGTTTCCGTGGGGTTCCCTGATAAGGACACAAATGAAGAAATTTCCAAATACAGCACTGATTGAAAAGGAACATGAGCTGAACGCCTGCTCCAGCTAACAGGTGAGGTTTCAGTGTGTGGTTAGTGTATGGATAAAGAAGGATGAGCGGTTTTTCATATGGAAGGTGTAAAAGGGTTGACTCGGCCCAGCGCAGCTAAGCAACTGCTAAGGAGACTCTAGCAGAAGCCTTAAACTTGACATTGGCCTTTCTCCATGAATTGAGAGGAGCAGAACATTCCCACTTGGGTACACAGAATCACAGAATCACAGAATAGTAGGGGTTGGAAGGGACCACTGTGGGTCATCTAGTCCAACCCCCCTGCCGAAGCAGGGTCACCTACAGCAGGCTGCACAGGACCTTGTCCAGGTGGGTCTTGAATATCTCCAGGCTGGCAGGGGAATTATCACCATGTGTTGGTAGTTGAAGAGCAGCCGATTCGATGTATAAACTGTTATCTGCTCAAGAGAGTTTTATTTCTGCAGTGCCAGTGGGCCCGTTACTGCCTGAGCAACTTGCCATTTGCCTGGTCGAGTGAACAGCAGAAAGATCTACTCGTTCTTCATCCTCATCAGAACTAATGAGCAAAGGGGGTTGGGGAAGAGCTCGAAGGCCGTCAGCTGTCGGGTGCTGATGGGTTGGTGGAGCACTGCTGAGTGACAGCATGGTATTTCTTAATCAGCAAGTTAGAGCAGCTACGGGAAGGCAGGAGTATAGCTCTCGGAGGTACGTGCCAGGATTGTGTTTGTATAATCTTGTCCTCTCAGGACTGGAGCTCTGCTGGAGATCTCTGTGAAGAGGAGAGGAAGATTCTCCTGAGAGGGTTTTGATGAGCTCAGAACGACACCCCTCATAAACCATCTTAATGAACCGTGTGCTGGCTGCTCAGCCCCTGTGCTTAATGGAATCAATCTGCAGTTCGGGTGGGTGCCCTGAGAGCAGTCTGATACAGCCAGGCAAGGAGAACGCGGCTGAATGATGGAAAAGAAGGCGAGAGAAGAGGAAGAAAAAATATCTGACGTGGCTAAATGGCAAGGGAAAAAGAGATGCCTGAACAGAGTCTGAAGCGGTCTGGAGGTATAGATGGAGAACTGCTGAGCTTGTTCAAGAAAAATTAAAGCTAAGGCAGGCAGCGCGATGTGCAGAGAGGTCCCACCCCACCGCGCTTACTGTTAGAAGAAGGAGGTGGTCCGCTGTCAACACTGCCTCCAAATCCTTCCAGCTTGCAGTCGGGAGGGGCCCATCCAAAATCGCAGTGACAATTTTTCTCATTGTTGCACACCTAGGAGAAAACACTTATTTTATGGCATGAAAAATAAAGAAATCGTGAGGTGGCCCTGTGTTTCTCTGGGGAACAGGCTGCCAGCAGAGCTTATTGTCAAGCACGGCAGAGACAGGCTGGATGAAATCCACGTCCTGAGATGCATTTGTTGCTCTGCTTTAGCTGCCACTGTGGAAATGTTCAGCCTGCTTTGTGCAGAGGTGATAGACTGGTGCCCCTGGTCACAGGCTGTCGTGGGCAGCGTGGCTGCGCTGGTGAAGGGAGGGCAGTGGGAGTTCGCGATCCATCACTGGGGTGATGCTCCTGTTGGAAGAGGTGCTACAAATGCAGCAGGGAAGAGATGACAGTGTATGGAAGGTGAAAGACAGTTATAGTTGTCTTTTTCCAGCTTAGTAGGAGTGCTTTTTGCATTTCTCAAGCCATTTTTAACCTCAGAGTTGGAAAACAGTCTTTATGAATTGCAGCGTTACCCTGCACTTGTGAATGCTTTGACTATTTCTGTTGTGACAACATACTTCTCAAATATCTCGAAAATTAATTTGTTACCTTCATGTCATTCCAAAATGACGGGTTTTCCTACAAGACAGGACCGTGACTCACAGAATCCCAGAATCACAGAATGGTTGGGGTTGGAAGGGACCCCTGGGGATCCCCCAGCCCAACCCCCTGCCCAAGCAGGGTCACCCAGAGCAGG